CCAAGTCAGAACATTTCCTCTTCCCTAAATTATCCATGTCCATTCCTATGTCACTGGGCAGGTGTGCTGTGGTTCAGGTTAGATGCTGTGTTCACATCACCACTGCATGCATCTAACACCACACTACTCAGGTGCCCTACGTGGGTCCTGAGACTACTGCTGTGCTGCTGGGCTTCACTACCAGATAAAGACCCTGGCACAGGATCTCCTGAGCCTCTGCTGCTGGGCCCTTCTAAGCCACTGCTTCCAGTTCCCACCTGTGAGGCTCTCTTGCCACCACACTATTTGAACTTCCACCTCCTGGTGGGGATTGGGGGAGGCATGCAACCCCTGCATAGGGCACACTCGAGCCTCTCTTGTCCTGTACAAGTGTTACAGCTCTTTTAGCTCCTCTGCCAAGCCTCCTGCCTGAAGGTGCTCAGCTCTTGCTCAGTGCACTGGCAGGCTCACCATCTCTGTCTCTAGACATCTTCAGCATTTACTCTTTCTTCTGGATCTAAGAGCTTCTCAGCGCAGGGACTCTAGGTCCAAAGGATGCATTACACACCAGACTCTTCCTCTTGATGGTAGTGTGGTCCCTTTCAATTCTGTGGGACTATTTCTTCTAAGCCTAGCATGATGGTAAAACTGATCAATCCCCTTGGTAGACCATACTCACCTTATTTGCACAGTAAACTGTGAAACACCTGAAAGAGTTTTACACATCTCATTTGCATAGTCCCAGCCAGTCAGTTGGTGAGAGTAACAAGACCATGACCAGAAAGACCATATAAAAACAATTCACTGCACTGCACCAGCTAACATTTCTATCATTCTGTTTCTTAGATGAATAGCAAAAGAGAGGACCTGGGTGGGTGGAATTGCATTCATGTGGAATGGGAAGAGCAGGGAGGTGGGAAAGTGCCTGATACGTAATAATGAATTAGCTTTTCATTTTGTTGAAAGGTAGGAAGCTGAGAAGTAGGGCCAGGGCCATGGTGAAGTGAAGGGGCTGGAGAAGTGGGCAGGGTTCAGACTAGAGAGGGCCTTGAATGAGCAGCCTGAACTTGGCCCCAAGGATTAACTATGTGCCCATATGTCCAAGCTCCCCCTTCTGCCACCCCTCAAGCCCAGGGGTCTGGAGACTGAGGGTGTGGCTCACTCTTGGGAAGACTAAAAAGGGAAGAGGCTTACACAGCCCAGGGCCATTGGAGCAGTGAATTCCGGGTACTGGCATGTGGTATAGAGGATGGGGAGGTATCATGGGCTCTAGGTGGGCATATCTCACAGACTCCTTATCCCTCGGGGAAGGATGCAGCTGGAAGAAGGTGGCCAGAGTGAGGCCCTCTAAGCATGTTTTTCAAACTTGGCAGCACCTAATAACAGACTGGGATTTTAAAAAATATATCAATGCCTGGCTCCACCTCTGGAGATTCAGATATGATTATTCTGGAGTGGAGTCTAGACATTGGTATTTGAAAAAAATTCTCCAGGTGAGTTTTATAAGCTGCCAAGTTTGAGAAGTGTTGTTCTAAAGCTCAGGGCTGGGGCAGGGCTGCCCTGGTTTACACAGGTAGTAGGTAGTGCCACTCCCTGGTTTAGGCAAGAGTCTGTCTGAAAGTCACTGCCCATCACCTTGAATCTCTCTCCTAGATCTGTGGCATTCACTCCCTCAGGGTCTTGGTGAGGCGTGACACTCACTTTCCCGATTTCCTTTACAGCTGGGGACAGACAGGAGACTTTGCTCACCAGCGGGTATGGCTGCAGCAGATTGTGACTGGGAGACAGGATGTGACAAACCAGGCCCAGTGTAGACCCACTCTTGGAGGATGGGAAGCCCCCTTAGCCAGCAGAGGCAGTGGCATAGATGGGTGGGGAGTCCTGGTCCATGCTTCAAGCAGGAAGAGACCCCATGCTGTCTGTACCCAAGTGTGCAGGGAGATATTGGCCCTGCTGCTGGCTCTAAGCTTGGTTCCCAGAGATAACGTAATCATAAATCCTATTTTTCCTCCAAAAAGCTCAAGTTGGTTTAGGTTGTTTGCAATTAATAATAATAAAAATAACAAACATCTAATGCAGGGCTTACCATGTGGCAGTCCCTGGGTGGTGCAAATGGTTAAGTGCAAGGCTGTTAACCAAAAGGCTGGTGGTTGGAATCCACCCAGAGATGCCTTGGAAGACAGACCTGATGATCACAGCCACAAAAACCCTATGGTGCTGAGTTTTACTCTGACACACACATTGACTCAATGGCAACTTTTTTTTTTTTTTGGTTTACCATGTGCCAGACATGTGCCAGACACTGGTAAGCATCTAAGCATCTTAACTTCAAAACAATCCTATGAAGCAGAACTATTTTACAGATTGGGTCACTGAAGCCAGAGAGGTGATAGCACCTATGGAAAGGCAGGGAGACAGGATATGGATTTAAATTAAGGCTGTTTGGGTCCAGAGTCAGTGCTTCTGAGCCCTATGCCATTGTTGTGGTAATGGCCTTATTACTGTTACTCTTGTTTTTCAGATGTCAGTACTGAGGCTTAGAGAGGGGCAGTGGCCTCCCCAAGGCTGTCTGGTGAGGGCCCACACCCAGCACACTGCCATGTGGGCTGTCAAGGTGGGCAGATGAGCCCTAGTGCCTGGTGCCCAGGAGGTGGGTGAGATTGCTTCTGATGCAAACAGTATCTTCGCCTGGTCTGTCCGTTGTGGCTGGGTCTTATCAGCCTGAAACTTCTTTCAGTTTCACCTTGGCCAGGCCCTGGGCCCCAAATTCCTGGTGGGTGATGTGCACTCTGTCTGTGATAATAGCCCTGGCTAAGCTCCCGAAGTGATGGCTGTCTTGGCAGCATCTCCAGCTCAGGTAACAGAGGATGAGGAAGTGTCTCCACTTTATCTCTGAAAGGTTGGCCAGCACTCAGCTCCTCCATGGGCTGCAGAGAGAAGCCAACTCTTGGCTTACTGTCTCTCAGTTCCAAGACTGGGGATCTGCCCCAGAAAGGATTCTCACCAGAGAGGCAATGAGTTGCCCAGGGTTGCAGTGCTTTCCACTACCCCAGGCCAACTTCTTCTCTGACAGAGGATGGGTTCTATCACTAACCCACTCGTCATATTCACCTTTGCCAGGCCCTGTTCAAAGTACTATAATATTTATATTCATTTAACCTTTCCAACAACCCCATGAGATTAGCCCCCATGTCATTATGCCCATTTTATATTTGAGGAAATCAAGGTGACACAGAGGATGTGTGGTGAGTTCTTAACCATCAGGCTATCCTACTTATATTAATTTATAAATGAGTAATAAAAAGTCAGCTGGTGGCAAGTATTTGAAGAAAATGCAGGAAAATAACAGGTCAGAAAATGACTGGGGGGTCGGTTGCTATTTTTGCGAGGGTGTCAAGGAAGGCTTCTCTGGGGTGGTGACATTTCAGCTGGTATGTCAAAGCAAGAAGGAGCCAGCCATGGGATGATCTAGGAAAAGAGTGTTCCAGGCAGAGGGAACAGCAGGTGCAAAGACTCTGGAGCAGAGGGGAAGGGACCTGCCCAGGATTAGAGAAAGCCAGGGTAAGCTGGGCCGAGGCTCTTCATTCTGGCACTGTGCCCTACATCTCCTCCTGGCTTTTCTGTGGTAAGCCCCTGTTTGAGCAGTTGGGGTTCTCCTGGCCTTACCACCTCCCTGCTGTGTGTTCCTGACAGGTCACTTCCCTTCTCTGTGCCTTTGCTTTAGCTGCCTCACTTCCCTCCAGGATGCAGGGAATCCCTAGGATAGGGGCAGAGAACACTCTAGGCTGCCGCCTAGATGTGAAGCATCACACATTGTTTCACTGGGCAGGGATGGTAGGTGGTTCTGAGCTCTGGGTCCTGGAGAATGTTGCCCTAGGACTGAAAGAGACCCCAACACTAAGAGATGGAGTTAGAGGTAGTTGCAGAGTCCATGAGGACAAGACAGAGATAGAATAACATCAAAACAGAGATGATGACACAGAGAGACAGGGTGGGGGAAGACATGAGAGACACCTGAGAGAGAGAAAGAGAGAGAGAGACATATGTGGGACATCTGAATGAGATGCCAAGAGATACAGAGAGCTGTTGTGTCACAGAGATAGAGATAGAGAGGACAAAAGAGAGGAACAAATGAAGAGGTAAAGAGAGACAGATAGGCAGAGATAGGAAGAGAGAATCCCTGGAGTCCACTGGCCTTTGGGACCCCAAGTTGGACCACATGGTGCTAGGGGGGTGACTTGAGGTCTCTGTAGCAGACCTCAGGTCCACTGGGTCCAGTGAGATCTGAGCCAGTCCCCTTCTACCTGGAGCTGCTTTGGTGCCACAATATCTTCAGTAATTTGGCAGAGCCTGGAATTGGCTTACATGGGTTTTTGTGGTGGAGTTTTGAGCCTTGGCCTACAGAAAGGACTGGGAGGCAGCTCTGGCCAACTGCCTGTCCTAGAGAAGGGCTTCTACCGGGCTAAAGCTCCAAGTTTGCCCAAAGGGGTCAGTGGAGATGTGGGGAGGTGGGCATACGGGGACAGAGCCAAAGTAGAGTGCTCACTGCCAGGTTCTGGGAGCTTCATATTGGTCTCCCCATATGGTCCCAGCAATAGCCATTCCCTGGGGTTACGTGCTCAAAAGGTGAGGAAGCCGAGCTCGATGAGTTCAAGGGCCTTTGTTGAGTTCACACAGAGGGCACCAGCAGCAGAGTTGGACCGGGAAAAGGACAAATCAGGACTGGCCCAAAGTTGGGGGCTCAGGGGCCTGCAGATCGATGAAGTCTGGGAGCTCCCAAGGCAAGGTGTAAAGTGGGCTGAAGAAGCTGGTCATTCCACTCGGCCCCTCAGGCACCCATGACGTCCCCAGAGTCGCTGGGCTCATCTTCCATCTGGGGCCACGGAGGCTTAGACTGCCTGAGGTGGCCAGGCCAAAGCCCCTCAGCCAGTGGGACGGGCTGCTTAGTCCACAACTCTGGGTTTAGACTGGGTGGGGGAAAAGGGGTGTAGGGAAGCCTGGGGATGCTCGGGGCTCCGCAGCGCACGCGCTAGGATGCCTCTCCGATGCCGTCCCTGCGTCTCGGTTTGCGATTCTGTGCGCGGAACTGCAGTTCCGCCCACAGAACCACTCGCGCTGCTCCCGGCCCCCTGCCAGCCCCGGCCAAGACCCCGCCCCAGGGCGGGCCAGGGTAGGGGGGGCTGAGGGCCTCCTACCGCCCCGCCCCGCGCGCCTCCGCCCCGCCCCGCGCCGTGCACAACTTGGGGCGCACGGGCGCTCGCACGCACCGACGGCTGGCGGACAGACGGACCGACGTGTGGACAGCACCGTGGTGAGTTCGCGCGATTCGTCCGGGGTCTCCTCCTGCTGCGGCCAACCTCGCGCCTCACCAGGCCGCCCTTCGCCTCACACGGCTCGGGGCGCCCCGACGCACCGACGGTTCCACAGACCGACGTGCTTGGCTCGTTCTTGCCGTTCCCAGGCGCAGGGATGGCGCCCGAGCGTGGTATGCCGGGCCCCCGCTGTACAGATTCGGGCACTGAGGCCCGCGCAGTCGGGGTGCCCGGGGTCTCGCTTTGGGTCCCAGTTCCCCACCGCTGGCTTCTGTGGCGTCCCTCTGCTCCCTCCCCATGCAGGGTCCGGCCACCCCGCAGTCCTGAGGCCTGCCCCTTCAGGCCTGGCATCGCCCCTGCCTTCACCTCCTCCATTTACACCCCCTCCCCGGTCACACTCACTGCTGCGCACGCACTCACTCCCTGCAGCCTGCAGAAGTTCCTGCACACTTTGAGCCATCCCTGGCTTCCCACTCCCTCAGTCACACAGTCCCACCCCAGTCCACCTCACACTTATGCCCCTCACGCTCTTCTGTCTTGTGCACACAAGTTTTGCAAACGGGTGCCTCAGACATGCATGTTTATCAGTTGGATCTCTGTTAAACACGTGTGCTCTCTCTAACACACATGCATGCCTAACATACGTGTGTCTCCATCATGTGTGCCACGCATGTGTCCTACATGCCTGGAGGCAAAGCCCCACACACCGTGAGTCTTGCATACAGAGTCACATACATCAATAAATACAGCCTCATAGTCACAAGCTCCCCAGGACCCCTCCATCCCCATGGGTGGGCACAGTTCTGCACGTGGTGCTGGGTGGGGAGGGGCTGTTGCTCTTGGCTGTGGTTTCCTTATAGTGGGGCCTGGAAGGCTGTGGAGAGTGCATGCAGGGGCCTGAGGCTTCAGGCATAGGCCTGACCCCTGAAGGTCTCCCACTCTTTCTTTCCCCTGCTATCCTTTCCCCCACCTGCACATTGCTTTTTCAAGCAGAGGTGCCCACTGCACTTTCTTTGCTATCACCAGGTCTCACCCCATCTCAGCTTCGTGATGGCCACTCCATCAGGTCCAAAGCTGGTCAGAGCCAGCAGGTATTGCTGTAACAGGCCAGGAAAAGAAAAAAATGGGTGGTTTAAATTGTCATCACCCAGAGCCTTTAAAGAAGAAGGCCTGCCTCTAGTCTCCTAGAGCCAGCCTCAAATGATTGAAGTGGTGGCTGGGGACATGTCCACATGGGCCTGGCTCAGAGGGGATGCAGATGTGTGTTTGTGGCCAAACATTTGGGGCTCTGAGCCTTATTTTGTCCGTATGCAAAATGGGGGCAGATCCCCCCTACTTGGAGGAAAGAGGCCTCTCAGGCCTGGGCCAGGCCTAGATTTCCCACTCTGCCATCCTGCACCCAGAGGGGGTGAAGTCAAAAGAATCTTATTCTGAAGGCATAGACCTACCAGCCTGCCTATGGCTGGCCCTGCATGTTTTGTTTGGCTCGTGCCCTGTTATTATTATTTTTAAAAATGTAATTAGCTGCCAGAATTTACAAATTGGCAGGTTTCACATAAAAGTCCGGATTTCCGCCTTCTATTGAAAAATCGCAAGGTCTGGCAACTTGAGGTCCACATTTCCCAAGTGCAGCCTTTCTCTTGCCCTTGTGGAGGAGGCACCTGCCCATTTCATTTTGCCTAGCCTCTGTACGGGGAACTCTGATAGCACAGTGCCTAAGGTACTTGACTGCTAACCAGAAGGCTGGCAGTTCAAACCCACGTGCCACTCCTCGGAAGGAAGGTTGAACAATCTACTTCTGTAGTGATACCGCCTCGGAAACCCAAGGAGGGGTCGCTAAGAGTCAGGTCCGACTCAATGGCACATAACAACAAGAAGAAGTCTCTGTAAGCCTCTGAGTTTGCTGTGCTTGCTGTATAGGGTGAATTGTTTTTGCTGCATTGACCATCCCAAAGGTGAGCCCAGGCTAGTTCCACCACCCACGGGTGAGGAAACCATGTGCCAGCTTTATACTCGCTCAAGGCTTTAGTCATAGGTACATTAGGTTGTGTGTCCAGGGACTTGGCCCTCAGGGCATCTTTGTGATGGCAGTGGACACTTTCCTGCTGGGCTGTGTGTGTGTGGGGGGGTGGCCAGGAGATCTGTGGGAAGAAGGTGAGACTCACAGAGGGCACAACCTTTCTCAGAGCCAGATCTTGTCCATCCATTTTCTTCCCAGGCCTTCTCAACAACCTGCAAGGGTGCATTCTTTCCTTACTTGACAGATGGGAAAACTGAGGCTTATAAAGGGGGAAGGTTTGTCCAGGGCCTCACAGCAACAAATGGTTTTTGAACCAGGATTTTCCTGATTCTAAAGCCCAAACTCTTTCACCTATCTGTGAATGAGGTGGCAAGAACTTGGTCTCATTTACCTGGGAGAGTTCCCTGAGCCAGGTCCCTGTGGGGCACACAAAAACCAAACTAAACCCATTGCCATCAAGTCAGTTCCAACTCACAGTAACCCCCATTGGGTTTCCAAGGCTGTAAATCTTTATGGAAGCAGCTGCCTCATCTTTCTTCAGCAGAGTGGCTAGTGAGTTTGAACCACTGACCTTTGGGTTAGCAGCCAAGTGCCTTAAATACTGCACCACCAGAGCTCCTTGTGGGGCACACCAAATGAAAAAAAAGCCAAATTCACTGCCTTTGAGTTGAATCCGACTCATAGTGACCCCCTCCTTGGGTTTCTAATGCGTATTTCTACAGAAGTAGATTAGCCAGTCTTCCTTCCAAGGAGTGGCTAGTGGGTTTGAACTGCCAGCCTTCTGGTTAGCAGTCAAATGCTGTTCTGGTTACCTAGTGCCGCTCTGACAGGAAACATACCACAAATGGGATGGCCTTAACGAACAGGAGTTTATTCTTACAATTTGGGGGCTTTAAGTCCAAGTTCAAAGTCCCAGGCTCTAGGGGCTGGGTGAAAGCCCCTTCACCTTGGGGTCCATCCCTGCCTTCTGCTCCCGGCCCACTGGAGCTAGAGGCATTTCTTCACTCAGACAGCTGCTGGCTGCTGAGGCTGAGAAGTCCCAAGGTTGACAAGCAAAAAGGCACAGTCCCAAGGTTACCAAACCACTTGGCAGGCCATTAACTTAAGTCCATTTTAAGTCCCAAGGTTGGCAGAGCATATAGCAGGCTGCTGAGCAACGACACAGCTACATGTAGGGTCCAAGCGTGCCATAGGCTAGAGACCATTCCCAAGGCTTCTCCTTATATATAGGAAGCAGGTCACATCCCAAAGGCAGCTACTCAGCTGCTTGTGGTAGATCCCACCATGGAGTTGATTGCCAGTCTCATCATGGGGAATACTACCACCAGCTGCCCAGCCACTCAACCAGGCCCAGCCAAGTTGACACACAGACATAACCATCACAAATGCCTTAGGCACACAACGCTACCAATGGGTATTTAATCAATGACTGCTGTAAGCAAACCTGTGTTCTCCTTAGGGATTAGGGTGGATCAGAATTCAGGGCCCTAGGTGAAGATTTCACACGGCCTGAGTGACTATTGAAGAGCCTTTTAATGGATGTGAAACGTGGCCCTGGTTCTTGCTTGATCTTGATGGCCACATTTACTGTGACCACAGGCCATCAGAACAAAGACTGTGGCTTTTCTTGCTGAGCCCTCAGCACTTGTCTCCCTATGTCTAGTCAAGGTTTGCTTTGCATTTTAGAGGCTGTGGAATGTGAACATTTTTGCCTAAATACCTAGTTAGCCTTGGCAAGTGATGAGATACATATACAAGGAAGGACTCGGGAACTGAGTCAGATGGGTACAGCAGGTTCTCCCTCCTGGCTCATGCTTGCTGGGGGACACTCAGTGGATATCATAGATGGGGCAATGGCTGCATTGTTCTAAGCCTCTTGTTTGCCATGTGTGTAGCTGAATTCATGGAAGTTTAACACCCACATGATGTGAAGCTTCCTGGAACTTTGTTGAATGGTGAATGAAGATGATAGACTTGGGGATGGTGGGCAGCCCATGGTCTCTTCCTCGTACCTCCTGGAGAGGGCACTTCGTTGCTTTTGATTTTTTTTTCCTGCTGAGGAAGAAGATGTGTGCCTGGCTGTGCAAAGTGGGACGAGAGCCTAGGGTGGGAGTCTGGCCCCACTGCTGCCTGGTTTGTGCCCCTAGCCCTCAGTCTTCCCATCTGTAAAATGGATATTTTCCAGTGGTCTTCCAGTGCTAGTGTTCCTGAAGTGGGGAGGAGGAGTGGGGGCTCTGGGATATAGTTTCTAGGAAGTGGTTGGATATAGTCTACAACTCTGGCTTTCTGAGCTCCAAGATGCCTACCCTAGCTGATAGCTGATGGTTTTTTCCTGGGCTGCAGCTCCATCCTGGGATAGGATTCCAGGCTCTATGCATATAGACGGGAATTCTGGTGGTGTAGTGCCTAAGGCATTGGACTGCTAACCAGGAGGCTGGTGGTTCAAAACCACCAGTCACTCCTCAGAAGGAAGCTTGGGCACACTGCTTCCGTAGAGATACTGCCTCAGAAACCCAAGGAGGGGTCACTGTGAGTCAAAATCAACTTGATGGCAGTGAGTTGTTTTTTTTTTTTTTAATGCGTGTAGACAGTGTGTTCTAGCTCTGTGTTGTTGGATGGATGAGGTGGGGTGGGTCAAGCCACAGATAGTTAAGACTTGGAGACTGGTGTAGGTGTTGTAAAGAGGGTACAGCCAGCTGGTAGTGATGTCCAGAGTGGGCAGGGAGGACCTCTTTGAGAGGGCCTCTTCTGAGCTGAGCCTGGAAGTGGTGAGGAAGAATGCTAGGGCAGAGGGGACAGCTAGTGCAAAGGGCCTGAAGCTGGGCATGTATCAGGGGCAGAAAGGGAGGAAACTAGAGCTAGTGAGATAGGGGAGATGGAGGAAGAAGTGGCTAGCAGAGCTGGCGGGCTAAGTAATGCAAGGGAATTTGAGAGCTATTGAAAGTGGTGAGCAATAGGGTCTGGTTTCCACATTCAGAGACTCTTGTTAGCTGTAAGATCAAAAGTCTTTGTGTGTCTACTATGAGGATGTTGGCAGAAGTGCAGAGTTCCCTGATAACTGTTCATTAGAACCAGCTCTGTGCCATTGTAAAATTGGTGCGTGGGGGTGGTGTCAGACCTACTCATTTAACTTCACAAGGGGGGAGGAGAATCATTATCAGCATCAGCAGCCCAAGGCTGATTGCTGTGAGGTGGAGGTCAGATATACCTCCACCCTCTAATCGTTTTACCAAATCTCATACCAGCTGTCTGTCCCATGGTACTTCCTGCTTCTCTGCTGTGTTCGATAATTCATAGCCATGGGCACACAGAACTCACAGACCATACTCATGCTTATGGGATGTTTTAGGAATTAACAGGTCACAATTCAAGCTCAGAAATGACTCAGGAATACAGATCTTCGGTCAGGACAGTCTCTTCTGAGCCATGCTGCTA